AGTGCATCTACAAGTAAAGAAACAATGAACAACTCACTCATCCATGAAGAAAGCATCAAAAGTTAAAACAACCAAGTATAATACATATAGCCTCAAACGGCTCAGTTCAAAGTACAAAAACGACACACACGCCAAGAAAAAAGGCATCGTAGGCCCCAAAATACATAAAGGAAAACTAAGCTAAGTATCCTCAGTACGAGTCGCCTCCTCCATCTCTGACTCGGTCGTCATGTCTGCAACGCCAGTACTTGCCCTAGCAATCCAGTCGCTCACATCCCCAGCATCCGACAACCCCGACTGACTAACAAGGTCAGACATCTGCTCCTCGTCCTACCCCCCCGGATGACCGTCTCCCTCTTTCAGCAACTCCCGCATGAGCTGGATGTCTTCATCCAGATCCTAGTGAGAGGTCCTCCCTTCCTTGAACTCAAGCATGAGTTCACCTCAGGCCTTGATGATAGCTCCCCTAGAGACTCGATCTCTACGGTCTTCTCGACCAACTCATGCCTCAACCTCTCCAACTCACGCTCACTATCCCTTAGACGTTGTTGACCCTCTTGCTCGGCCTTCCGGGCTACTGCCTCTCTCTGGCGCAAGCTGGTGTTCACCTTGGACACATCTTGTATCCTTTTCTCCTATACCACCACAGATTTTCTCAGGTGAAGACTGCTCGTGAGTGCCTGCAGAACAAGGTATTGTCATCAGTACGAAAGTAAGGAGCTAAATAAAACAAAACTCTGACCAAACCTGTAAAGCGCGGGATACTTCCCAGTCAGCAGCAGCAACTACGCCCATTTGGTTTAGACACACCTCGTCCACCAGGAACAAGAATGAGTCGGCTAGCTTGCTCATGGAAGTCGTGTCAGAGTAGGTCGACGCGGTAGCCGGAATATTAAATGTAATCATCCCGGCCTCCTCATCCATGACGGTGGTTTGGGATGACCCAACTTCGACGACGGGCTGCTGGCTCGATGGCGTCGCCAACACGTCCTCCACTCTCATATCTTCCCTGGTCGAGGATTCCCTCCTCCTCTTCTTTTGATGCTAGGCAATGGACTCGCTCGCACTAGAGACGGCCAACTTCTTCATTAGAGTCTCTACAAGCGCAAACTCTCCAACGGTTAGTGGGTTCAGCCTTGACTCACCAAAAATGATGTGATTGCAGTACCGAGCCAAAAGCACATCCCAAGTCTGCTTCAACGAAGGAAAGGGAATACCTCGCTGAATCGCCTCTACTCCAGCCCAAAGATGGCTGGTCCTGAGGTTAGACTCTGCCAACATTACCCGCCAATCCCTCTACTCCTTCGGAATGGCTAGAACCCTCTGAGCCACCACATCCAAGCCTTCTCCGCTCTGCCTAACCCGATTGTACTCAAGCTCTTCAAGCAAAAAACACAATCAAGATTTAGTAATCAAAGTGCAAAAAACAACAAAGTTCTCACCAGTAGCTCGCCAACTACTCGGGATGTCACCCTACCCTCTCTCCCCAAAAACAGCCTAACCCTTCACAAAGAAGTATTGGTCCTTCTAGTTTTTGTTGTTGGACCGTAGGTCGGTCACCAGGTGAGACCAGTCATGCTTCAGGTTAATCAGATATCTACCCTTCTCTTTGTCATTCTCCTTCAGAAAGTATGAGTACAACAACTCATGCAACTCGAACATCACCTGGTGCCAGATATAGAGGTCCTCCAAGGCCATAAGCAACCTCTAACCGTTCGGCATGAGCTGAGATGGGGCAATCATGAAGTGGTTCAGCACCTCCCAGATGAGGTGAGGAACATGTAGCCTTAACCCATCGTGAAACCACTTCTCGTAAACACTAACCCAGCCTTGTGCTTTCCAGTCGACCCGCTCGTACGACCGTGGCACCCAGATCTCAACCAAAGTCGGAATGTGATAAAAAGTCTGGATGCGCCACACATCGCTGTCCTTAAGCACGGGAGGATAATCCTTGGTCAAGATCCCACTACCCTATTGGCTCGGCTCTTCCTTAGAGTTGCTACTAGATGAAGACGGACTACCAGCTCCTTTGAAGTCTTCCCTACTTCCTCTATGCCTGCCCGAACCACTCGGGCTGGCAGTACTTGTCCTTGGGGTAGCTACACTAACTCTAGTCGGTGCTCCCATCGGAACGCCCCCCTTGAGCATCATCACTATGGTAGGGGCACGTTCGTACTTGTCGCCAGCATCCGCCATAACCCCGCTCGAACTAGCTGAATCAGAGTCGGACATGATAACCTGATCACCCAACCCGACAGACCGACTTGACTCTGACTTCCAATATCTAAAAAATCTAAGTGTCAAGCAGCCACTCGCCCCAAACAACCAACCAGGAAAACACACCAGCTCGGTTCCACCTTCAGCACCGGTCAACCTACCCAGCAACTAGTTAACCTCAACCAAACTCTGATCGACCTTCGTTACCGATCGATCGTATCCCTGATTCAACAAAGCTCTTTCTGGCTCGCCCCAAGCAACCGACCTATCTTGAAACTCACCCCTGAATCAACCTATCCCTGGTCACCGACTCGCCAATCCAAACACTTACCGAACCACCTACTCGGGTTGGGTTACCTATCCCTCATCTAAGTCGATCCTTCCCATAATCAACTCGCCACCCGGTCGGATAGAATGAATGACCTACCCGTCCTACTAAATCCTCAGGTTATCTCTCTATTCGGTCAGTTAGACCTACCGAGCCCTTATTCAACTGAACCAATCATACGATATCCTCCCCACTCGGTCTGATGGGATGGACGACTAACCTAGGCCACTTAGATCACAATTGTCAAACCATCGCTCGATTCGGTCAGGCAGACCGACCGAGTCAAAATGTTATATAACCTGACGTCTCCCCTATACCGTCCAAAAATCCAGAAAATATCAAAACTGTTGGCAACTCGCCGGAAATCCAGTGGAAAATCCAAATCTATGCCTATTCTAAGAATCCTAATTCCAAAACACTTCGAAATCTAATCAAAACCTACTCAAAAGATCAAAAACTTCATCCTATCTTCCAAAAATTCAGCAAACAACCAAAACAAAGTAGAAAATCAACCCAAAGAGAAGAATGTTTACCTTGAAAGACTGCAGAAAGAGAAACCACTGTCGCTCAAGAAATTGGAACGAAAAAGAAGGAAGGAAAAGGAAAGAAATTTTTTTTAGGAAAATAGAAGGAAAACGCAAATGGAAGACAAACAGTCAATTCCTCAATTTTTATAAGGAAAAAGCGGACACGTGGCAGCTTGCAATTGGTCAATGGTCAGAGCGTCTTTTCATTTTCCTGCTCTTGAAATGACGGGTCAATCGCTACCGTACACATGGCAGCGATCCAGGACGTCTAGGAAACCGTAGCCTAGTATAGAAGCTATAGCTCGGCCGTCTTGTCCTCTCGACTGACCTAGCTCATGACTTCCGAAGTGGACCCAACACGCTCCCAGGCTTCACAAGCCCAAGCCATCCTCTCGACTGACAGATCAGCTTGGAACGGCCCAGCTCGCGGTCACTCTCCAAACGATCAAACCAGGATGGCTCGCCCATTCGGTCTTCCATAGCGGACGAATTGACTACCAAAGGTCGAAGCTCTCATATCTCACTCACTTGACCACTCGAGCACCTCGACCGAATGAGCCTTCAGCCCGATACCATCTCTACATCACTCAATTTGGCATACCGAGCAGACACTTCTGCCATGGGATGCCAAATCACTTCTCTAGTTGGCAGGACACACAGAACGAACGCATGAGTCCCAAGAATCGTTCTTAATCCCTTTGGCCCCTCATGCTGACTGAGGACTACAAACCAGCTACGTTAGACTGTTCAGCTACACCGAAGATCGGTCATCCAGGAAGGGAGACCAAGCGCACCTCCATCGCTTCCTACTCTCTGACTTAAAAATTCTTAACTCAGAGAGTGGGGGGCAAACTGTTAGGGCTAAAAATCGCCCTTGGCTCAAATAGGAAAACGAGCCTGATTGTGTGGAAGAGACCGGGCCCAATCCCAATACAGGCCCATTTGATTCAAGATACAACCGGCCCAAACCATCTGGGCACAAGCCTCCCAATCCCAGCTCACTTCCTAAACCTATGAGCGAGTTCAGAGCCCACGACCCCTACGGATCACTTTCCTATTCCTGATCAATCTCCTACTCGAAGTTACTTTCCTTTTCGGGATCACCTTCCTATTCGAACACTGGTAAGACAGCTTACCACCGCCCTAACTCCTTTAGGGTTCGTATCAGAGTCACACTAGGACTCCTACTCCCACCAGGATTGGGAGAACAGACAGTCCTCTCACAAGATAGATTACATTACACCTTCACACCCGAAGCTCCTACTTGAGAGCTTCACTTCACTGCCGTAGTCACAGTCTCCGACTAGACTTCTGGTAACCTCTCTATTCCTTAGCCCTCACTACACTAGCTTCTTTCAGCCTTGCTGACTTGAGCGTCGGAGTGCCTACGGCAAACATTACCCCGGTATTTTCCGTTCGCTTCACGCATTTATTTCATTATGTGTGCAGGTGCAGCGGATCGCTAGTGGCCTTAACCTCATGGGATCAGACCCTACTTTCATGTAGGTAGATTTTTACGTCTACAATATCATTAATTGAATTAAAGTAATAAAAAATTAAATATTTGAATCATGATATTTGGCTTTGCAACTCCGTAGTGATACTAGACAGAAGACTATTGTGAAGACTAGCGAATTCTTGGAGCACTTCTACGCAGGCACCACCACTAAGATTGTACTGTTGTTTGAACTCAAAGGTCCCACATTCTGAAATGCAAATTTCCTCCCTCCCATTTCACATATTTCCTTCTTAAAAAATAGGAAAAAAAAAATATATATAAAGAAGAATAACATGGGAAAACCTCAATAGTAGAAGTTTGCTGAGCAGACTTTTACCTTAATAACATCTGTAAATTTGCCAATCACCATGTTTACATATTCCCCTTTTTGTAATTCTGTAGGATTAGAAGTACTTCTGATGAAAGACATTTAGTCAACGCCTCCGAAGCTAGACAAATAGATTCCATCGGCTAGTATCTTTTTGACCTCTACATCACCGAGTTGCTGCTTCAGTAAATTGGTCACCTCCTTAAAATAGCTTAGCTGTTTTTGGCTGTAAAGCTAAAAATTGAAAGCATTGTCAAGATATATGAAATCAAACAAATAAAATCACAAATATCAAACTAGTAAAGAGAGAAAACATGTGTTATTTATCCTTGTTAACCCAATAAATAGGCTATGTTCAATAGAGTTAATATTATTGAAATATCTTCTCATCTCTTTCGTTACAATGAATGCATTTTCCCATGATTTGCTATTTCACTCATATAAGAGAATTATAAGCTTATATAATAGGTTTAATGAGAAAAACCTAATATTATTGGGATCTCTTTTCCTAAGCCCAAACCCAATTAAGAATTTAATTATTTAGAGAAATCTTACAACAGCCCAAACTGCCTACAATGATCAATTTTTTAGATTAAAGAGTGACTCTAATACCATGTTTATTGGAAGAATTGGATGTTTCAAAATTCAATGATTTATTAATAAGGAGTTACAACCTTTATATATGTAGTGTACGATCTCATGAGTCTCATAATTATGTTATTTACATATTACACAAGATTTTGTCTAACATAATTAAGAGATTATAGAATATCTAGAATATTATGAGATCGTAAACCTAACATAATTAAGGGATTACTGAATATTTACATAATATTTAGGAAATCTAAACACATTTTTCCTCAATTCTATCCTTGATTATGCCAGAACTTTATTAATTGACTCGGGTTTATTATACCAAACTATTACACTTCAATAATTCGTAGAAGCAACAAACAATACGCCACTCATAGTTCAATATATATTTTGGCTTTCTTGTCCCACGTGAAAAAATAAATTAAGATATTGTAATGACAAGTGGATTACCACTTTAAGCCACCACAATCACAGCCACACAAGGCAAGAATTAAACCTACAATAGAGATAGATTGATTCATGTAACAGTTTGTATTAGATTCAATGTGGCACACATTTATCTATCTCTTTTGTAGAGGTTTGCATTAGATGATATCCATATAAACGGTCGGTCTACAGTCAAACGTTTTCATACTGAAAATCACAAAATTATAATGGACAAAAGAATTTTCCTGGATTATCAAAACGGTCCCATTAAAAGATTCATATTTATTTTCACCAAACTTCATTACACAAGAATTTGCCCAATTTAACTTGATGGGTTACATGGAACCTTATCACACGAGATAAATCCAGTAAATTATTGACTAAGCATAAGATATGTGGCTGTAGTCTGCCCAATTTAACTTGATGGGTTACATGGGAAATAAAAGTTTATCGTTTGATAAAATCTCAATGGTGGTGGTGGAATTGAGTTCATAAAGTTGCTTCATGGTAAGAGGCCACGTAAACTCTAGTCCTCCATTCCACAAGAAGTTGGATAATATAGAATTAGCACGTTCAGAAGCATGACCTCCATCGAAAAACACATACTCATTAGGATCATTACATAGTTCATATTCTTTTACTCTTCCGCATTCGGAACCACGATACAAACCGATGCCGCAACATGCAATTTCTGACACATTAAAGCCTACAATAGACAAGGTTTACAGCAAAAGTTAGAGTAAGAGCGAGATTATGTCTGAGCATTTAAAAGAAAACAAAAAATTATGACCTCTATATAACTTACCATATTTTATAGGATAATTTATCATATCGTTAAGTGAATTGAAGAAATCAAAAATTAGATATTGGAATCCTGATAATTGGCTTTGCAACTCCACAGTGACATTAGACAGAAGACTATTGTGGAGACTAGCGAATTCTTGGAGCACTTCTACACAACCACCACCACTATGATTGTACTGTTGTTTGAACTCTGGTTGGCAACCCAAAGGTCCCACATTCTGAAATGCAAATTTCCTCCCCCCCATTTCATATATTTCCTTCACGAAAAACAGAAAAAATAAAATAAAATAAAATATACATACATACATACATACATACATCCATATATATATATATATATATATAGAAGAATAACATGGGAAAACCTCATTTTGAGAACTTTGCTGAGCAGAATTTTACCTTAATCACATCTGTAAAATTGCCAATCACCATGTTTACAAATTCCCGTTGTTGTAATTTGGTAGGATTAGGAGTATCGTCGATGAAAGACATGTAGTCAACGCCTCCAAAGCTAGAAAAATAGATTGCATCGGCCAGTATCTTTTTGGCTTCTGCATCACCGAGTTGCTGCTTCAGTAAATTGGCCACCACCTTAAAATAGCTTAGCTGTTTTTGGCTGTAAAGCTATAAAGATTAAAAGCATTGTCAAGATATATTTTGCCTAGTAGCTTGTTTGAATAAAATGTTGTACATACCGTAAGTGGTTCACTTTCTTCAAGAACACCAGCTCCAGCACTTGCAAAATTAGCTCCATTGCTAAAATTATGACTTCCAGGTTGTAAGTATGGTTCCCAGAGTGGTAAATTTGAGTATTTTGCTGCATTATTTAAATAAACAGCACAATTAATTCTGAGACGGATCGACATAATCGTAATTCACTAGCTGGCTACCATACCAGCAAAGTCAGGGACGATACGGCCATTGCAGAATCTTCCAGTCGGATATTTGAAAAAACTCTCCCCATATGGTGTAAAATTCGCCTTGTATTCAATGCCAAGATGGAGATAGTTATTGTTTCCTGGATCGTAGACCGAATCTCCAAACACAAAGATGGCAACATGTTTGTTATTAGCTTGCCTGGACTCATCATCCTGAGAGCTTGCTGGAGCAGTAAGAAGGCTGGAATACAACAGAAACATTATGTAGAGAAGACTCCGTATAGATGAAGCTGCCGCCGGTTCCATTTTCCTTGAAGAATTCTATTCCACGAAAGATTGTTAGTTTTAATTAACAAAATTTGTATGCGTATAGTTGCCCACAACTGATAATCTTAAAAGTTTAACTAGCTAACTAGTTTGGTATAACCTATTTTCTACATTGAAAAGGAGATAGCAAGGTACAATTATACACCATGAGTTAAATGTGTGCCACATTTTGTATAACAATAATACTTTGGGTGCTAATAGATGAGTACTAATATGTGTACTAACTAAAGCATAGTATCCGTACTATGTGCATAGTATGGATACTATGCTTTAGTTAGTATACATATTAGTACTCATCCATTAGTACCCATAGCATCACTCTTTGTATAAATTGTTGTATGAATACATCTATCTTTTTTGTAGAGGTCAGCATTAGATCTAGATGAAGTCCATATAAACAGTCATCAAACTTTTTTCGTATTGAAAGTTAGAAAAATTCTAACCTACATGAGAATTTTTTTGAATTGTCAGAGGTCCGTATCTAAGTTAAAGATTTTTTTTTTTCACCAAACTTCACAACAAAAGAGTTTGCAGTATATTTCTACAACGGGGAAGACTCCCCTATAAACTTAATTGAACCATAAAGCACATTTTAATTGCATAGAATCAAATCAAAATCATAGAAACCCTAAATTTGATATGAACCTTAATTTGATATTGTAACTTTAATTATGCAATATATAAACAATAAAGTACATATACATATCAATCAATAAAATAATTTTCATAAAATTCCTCTGACATGTGGAATGTCTCCAATTTGTCTATTAAAAAAATAATTGTCAACAACTAATAACTTTTATATTTCCCATGAATTAATATATTCTAATTATGTTCAATGTGATAAATTGTTTATTATATTGAAGGTCTTACTTTCACTTAATTGTAAGTCCATACTTGACGAGAATCGGATTATTGGATATAGTGTATACTTTCACTTAATTGTAATTACTACAGCTTTCTGATACTGAAGAACATTTTTCTATCTGAATGCTGGATATAGTTCTTTAATTAAAACTTGTTGACCAAAGATTCATGGTGCTAACGACAAGTTCACAAAATGAGAGGACCTGACTGTAATTTTTACAAACGATGACGTTTTACTTTATGTGTAAAAGTCTTCTTCTCAAACGTGTTTTGACAACTGCTGCAACTTTACTCTTTACTCTTTTCTTAACCTTTTCACGCTTTCTTCCCCTGTTTCGTTCAAGTATAAAACAGCAAGTATTGTATCAAGTTCATTAATACAAAGTATCATTCAGCTAGAATCAAGTTTATCTTTCTTTTCTTTCAAGTTTCACATGGTATCAGAGCCATAGACTCACGTCAATGGCTGATTTTTCTGGTGTTAATCTCTCTGCAAATAGCATGAATAAGCTCCAAAATTCCACTGATTCGCACTCCTCAATCTTCTCTTCAAGCTTACAAGTGATTAATCCAAAGTTGACGTGAGATAACTATCGATTTTGGAGGTCGCAAGCTCTTTCTACTGTTGAAGCTCATGAGTTGGAAGAACACCTCACTGGTTTAATTCCGTGTCCTCAACCTTTAATTTCATCAGAAAGTGAAAATTCCTCTGAAATAGAAAGTGCTCTGTCAAAAAACAACCTAACCAAAAGCAAAGTCAATCCTGCGTATATTGCTTGGAAACAAACTGACAAGTTTTTAGTTACTTGGTTACTTGCTTCAATCTCTGAATGCATGTTCAGTTGTATATCAAAATGTCAGCTCTCATCTGAGATTTGGTTTGCTCTTGAGCGAGAATTCCTTAATGATTCTAAAGCCAGAGCTCTACATTTGAAAAACCTATTACAAACTACACAAAAAGACAATTTAAGCATTAGTGAGTATGTTAAGAAGATGAAAAATATAGCAAAAAGTTTATTTGCTAGTGGTCCAGTTATAACTGACGAAGAAGTACTCCAGTATGTGTTAGACGGTTTGGGACCTGAATTTGACGCAGCGGTGGTTAACTTGACTTCACGGCTTGAATCCAAGTTCGATACAGTGACAGTTCAAGAAGCACAGTTCTTGTTACAGAAGTATGAACTGAGGTTAGAAAAGTTTAATTCTATTGATTTTTCTGCTAGTTCTGTATTTTCAGTTTCCTTTTTCTCTTCACACTCTCTCAGCTACTGACTTACTTAAGTAGCAAACCCTTACTATATTATTCACTCATTCAATCAAATACACAAATTGAAGCTTTAATTTCTTTTAATTTTCTCTCAATTTAGTTTTTGTTTTGGAGGCAATTCATTTTGAGTATGTGGATTAAAATTCTAGAATTTGGAAACCTGGACTAGGGAGTTAGATTTGAATGGGCATGTGGATTAAAGTGTCAGAATTCAGAAGATAAGGGCTTAGCTAGCGTTTAGCTAAGTAAAAACAAAAAAAACGCTGTCGTTTTTTGTTTTTCTCTTAAAGAGAACGAATGTCTCTGTATTTTCACTTTCCTTTTTCTCTTCACACTCTCTCAGCTACGTACTGACTTACTTAAGTAGCAAACCCTTACTGTATTATTCACTCATTCAATCAAATACACAAATTGAAGCTTTAATTTCTTTTAATTTTCTCTCAATTTACGTCTTTCACTACATTTACTGAACTAATTAATTTTTTATGACTATTTCAGGAAAGTTTTAAAGCAGGGACTAAAGCATGTTGTGGCAGTGGACAATTCAATGGACCAGATTGTGGGGGAGGATTCAGTGGAAAAAAATGCTTATACTCTCTGCTCAAACCGTAGTATGTTTTCTTCAATGGTGGCCACACTACACAACAGACGAACAGCCAATTAGCCGAGCTGATTTGGAGCTGAGTAGCAAATGTAACAGGGCCTTACAATGTGAAGCAATTGTTTGAGCTTCCATAATTCTTTTTACAGCTTGTAACGCACTTAGATTATTTCTGCATATGATCATTACAATGATCTGTTTAGTTGATCTAGCTACTAAATAAATCCTATAGGAATATAATAAATCATCTAATTTTAATATGTATCAAACGGTACTCATAACTTATATCTTTTAAATTTATATCTTTCTCATGTTAATCTTAATCAATGTTTTAATAACCAACCCGGGGTGAAACCTGACTACGTTGTCAGGTCCCGGGTTGACCAATTTAACCGGTTTGACTGGCCAGTCAAACTAGGTGACAAAAATTTTAAAATTCAACAAATACACCCCTAAAAATTATGTTTATTTCATACAGATTTAAAATTTAGCAAACACACCCCCAAAAACAAATCGGCGGTTGACTAGTTGGCGGCAGCGACACACCAAATGCAATTTCAATCATCCCTTGAGCCTATTCCCCATAAAATCTACCCAAGATTTGGTCAAAATCAGTTCGATTTCGGCCAGATCTCACCAACACCAATGTCAACATTCTAGGCCAGATCTCACCACCGTTGGTGTCGACAACCGTTCCCATACCACGAAAAAATTCCCCTCAGCCTCCTAACCAAAACCCACCTCACCCCACCCCCATTAACCTCGCTAGCAAAAGTCAGTTGTTGCTGCCGCCTTATATTTCGATTTCCAATCGATTCACTTACCAGAAATTAACTTTGTTGCCACCATTGAACTCACCGTCACTTTCTCTCCAAAAGCCCCAATATCTCAACCTTCAATTGTTCGCTGATCATCATCCAAATTTCTAGGGTTTTCAGTTAATAGTGAAATGGGTAATTCGGCCTGGTGAAAGCCTCAAGTCTAGGTTGAACTGGTCAAGCCGGGCCGGGTTTTGAAACACTGCTCTTAATTCTAAAACTCTTCTTTAACTGTAGTTTTTATTTTACTATGCGATCGCAAATCCATTACAATTAAAGAAAGTAATTAACCTATGAACTATCTTAATGATTTAAATTAAACAATTTCACAAACAATTGAAAGTATATCTAATATATTTAATTTATTATAACTTAAAATATATCTTAGAATCTTAAACACACTAATTAGATACTCATTAGATACCATATAAAAAGTTAGTCTACGCTGTTTAGTAGGTTTGACCTTCAATTATCTAGTTGGAAGTGACAATAAATATATCAAGGGATATTTATGCCCACAAGTTGCCAGCTAACAATCCCACATAGTAATGGAGTTAGCACCATAAACTTACAGAATCTATAGGCCATAAATTGAATGTGTACTTTCTTATCTCTCTAAAAAATATCCCTTGATATAAATTACAGTAAATTATTGACTAAGCATAAGATATGTGGCTGTAGTCTACCCAATTTAACTTGATGGGTTACATGGAAAACAAAAGTTTATCTTCAGATAAAATCTCAATGGGAATGGTGGAATTGAGTTCATAAAGTTGCTTCATGCTAATAGGCCATGTAAAATCTGATCCTCCATTCCACAAGAAGTTGGATAATATAGAATTAGCATGTTCAGATTGATGGCCTCCATCAAAAAACACATACTCATTAGGACCACTACACAGTTCATATTGTTTTACTCTTCCGCATTTGAAACCCCGACGTGAACCGATGCCACAACATGCAATTTCTGGCACATTGAAACCTACAATATACATGGTTTACAGCAAAAGTTAAGAGTATAAGCTAGATTACATTTGAGCATTTAAAAGAAAAAAAAAAAAAAAAATAATGACCTATATATAACATACCATATTTTGTAGGATAATTTATCATATCCTTAAGTGAATTGAAGAAATCAAAAATTACGTAATGGAATCCTGATAATTGGCTTTGCAACTTCGTAGTGACATTAGACAGAAGATGTAAAACCCCATTCCTGATTTTAGTTAGATCATGAATTGTATTTAAGTTAATTAATTCTTTTTTTTTTTATTTGATTTTTGGTATTGTGGTAAGATAGGGGTATTTCTGTCAGTTTTTAAAGCTGTGTTAAGGGGGTGAAATCAAAGAAATAAATCCTGATGGGTTTGCATGTATCAAGAGGGAAAAATTTGGACATTTTTGCTAAGGAAAGCTTATGTGGCTG